GTGGTTCGATTAAACGCTATAGCTATATTGTGCTTTTCACTTACCCATGGAAAGCTTTCAACCTTATACCCATTAATGAAAAATAACAAGAATAGCTTTACCCAAACATCGATCTAGAATGCTCTGAGCTCACCTTGGAAAATTTAAGTGTAATTATATGATTGCCAAGTCGCAGAATATTACATTGCGGGCACAACTTCTGTCTGTTCTGCTGCATTTTTGTCAGCACGTACAAAAAGTCTTCGGCCACAAAATGATTTTCCTCTAAAAATAAAACAAGACCTATAACCAGAAGTGCGAAGTACATGATTATCAATGTTTTAAGGAAGTACGGAGGATAAGAACGCACCAGCATGATATCTGGTTACTCTAAGTTGATGAAACACACGGTTCGCCTTCCACCACCAGTGATGCTTCGCCTGAGTAAGCCTTGCCTCTCTATAGTGTCCATTGATATCTGGGTAAATTGCATTATTGCAATTTTTGATGATAGCTCTATCGATATAGATAATTGTAATATACATACGTTTCTTCTAAATATATACTTTATACTCACATCTCTTTTGTAATATTCTGCGGGCAGTCGTTGGGATGCTGGCCAGGAAACTTATGTGGATGCGTTTGTAAAGAGTGTGGATAGTACATCTGAATCACCTTACAGAATTCAATCGCTTGCACATAATCGTTAATATAATCGTCATAGAAATCGTGTGAAAATACAAGCAATGCTTTGGAAATATCCCTGGCGTGGGAAAGACTGTTTACCGAGTACCTTAGGTAGCTAAACTGCTTGTGCACCTGCGAAAAGATGATGATGATAGATGAAATCCTTAATATTCCATACAGAACAACAGGACAACTTACTTGAAAAACAATGACCACAGAGTTATTGTCCAGGGGACCGAATTTATTTTCATTTAGGATCATCTGTTGCTCGTTAATGTCATAGATCTTACGCTTGATTCTCGAGATTGTATCGTTCTGACCAGAATTCAATTCTTTCAACACTTAGGGAACGCCAGCGTGTTTTTTATATTAGTTTACTTTATTGATTAACGCTACTCACATGCCTCTTTTTCTTTGATTAGTGCCATAAAATGTGCTTCTTGGGCCGAGTTGTTGGTCCGTGATTTACTTACCGTCACGCCGGGACTTTTAACTTATCATTGATTATGATTTGAAGCGTGTATTTAAGATGAAAACAAGGAAATGCTACTTACAAACATTAAAGCTGCAGCACTGCAACATAATAAAGCACACAACCAGGAGAGCAATGGTCCGAACATAAAACCGAATTGGTCTCTTATTCATGATTTTCATGATGTTCAAGTATCCAGTATTTGTTCACAATTATTATTTTATCGGAATCACATTTCTTTAGAAACAACTTACTTTTTCTCAATGCCTACTTGGTTTCCTGTGTCACTTTACATCTTAACAACAGGGTACACTTAAACCACTAAAATAGAAAAGCACTTTGTTATCCCAAATATGGCCACTCAACTTGCCCTAAGAAGCCATATTAACTGCCCTTAGGTAAATATTAGATGTACATCAAAGCAACTTCCAAGAGGAAGCCAAGGGAAATTACTTTGGTACCCTCGGGCACTTGCTGCTAATGGCCAGCAAAAAGTATTTCGGCAGGTGAACGACAAAGAGAAAAGCTCATTTGTGGACTGATACACAGAATAACAGAATCTATTGACATAAGGAACAAAAATAAATTTGCCAACAACTGACATCCAATAAGTACATAAAAACGAGCTATTGTACTTTGTTTATAGGTTGAGACTACAGAAACTTTATTTGATATTGTTGTTCTGTTGGATTGCTTGCAGACTGTCAGAATATGCTTAAGAGAGAGACTTAATTGTTTAAGAGAGAGACTTAATTGTTTTAAGTAGGTTTTTCTTGATTTACTTACAATTACAAATACAGATATATCTCTCCACTTTATAGAAATAATAATATTAAATAAATACATTGATGTAAATATTTATTTATTTATGTCAAATCAAATCTAAAGAATCAACACTTGACATTGAAAAGCAGCTGAATTTGCAGCCATTTTTCAGCGTCAACGTCAATTTGTGAATTGCTTGGTACTCGGAGCACTCGGCGGATTTTCATCCCAAGATTGATGATGATGATAACTGATACCAGTTAAGCTTCTGCTGGTGTAAGTTGTGGCCTTTTTATGGCTGGCCATAATATAATAGAATATTTAAGCCCAGAAAATTTGCATATATTTCCGTTTTCGCCGTAACATTTCTGTTGGCGTCAGCACAAAATTATGTGATTAAATGCATTTTTCAGTTAATCGTGTTTACATATTTAATGTGAACTGTTAAAATTTTAATTTATTTAAGGGAAAGTTGAAATACTTTAATATTATTCAATTATACTTCAATATTATTCAATTATTATTATTTTTATTTTACTCATTAGAGTATTGAATCTAAAAAGTTAGCAGTTGAATTAAAGAACGTCATATTTGTCAATAGATTATGAAATTTTAGGAAGCTGCAAAAATTAATAAAAATGTTTTAACACTTTTTCTATTATTTTTTCTATTATAAAGCAATAATAAGCAATGTACTTAAATATTACATTTATGGTAGTTTTATGGTGTATATATTAATTACAAAAGTTAAGGCGTACCGAATCGCTTAGCCTTATCGAATTGGAAGAAATATTTGCATTTTGAGACCTAACTACGAACTCGACTGTTGGGTAAAGCAAAGCAAATAAGTAGTAATATTTACTTTGATGTAGATAGATATTTGCCGTATTGGATCCACATTGAAAGCTGGCTATCATTTGAACCATGTTGCCCAAACACATCAGGTTTTATATCCGCAACATTTTTCTCCTGATCATATTCTTTATCATGCTAAAGTACTGCAGCCTTCTCTTCCGTAAGTAGTTGTTTTAATCTTCAGAACTATTATAAATTATCAAATTCAAAGTCAAAAGTCCTAATGAGATGCCCAGCAAGCCACTGACCGATACGACGATTGATTATGGATATCTGGGTAATTCAAATGAGGCAAGTGAAAGTGAGTTTTAATTACGATTTAAATTGAATAATTAGACCCCCACTGTTAACATGATAATTTATTGAAAGGATTGCATCTTAATACAATATTAAAAATTATGCAGCAGATCCATAAAGCAAACGAACAACAGTTGATCCTTAACACAAATAAATATGGTCCGCTGGAAAATGACTCGGTAGTTATTGTTATTCAAGTGAGTTGTCCTGTAATCCTGCAGAAAATATACAATAATACGTCAATATTTATTCAAAGGTGCACAACCGAATTAACTACCTAAAGTACTTGGTAACCAGTCTTTCCCTTGCCAGGGATATTTCCAAAGCATTGCTTGTATTTTCACACGATTTCTACGACAAGGAGATCAACGATTATGTGCAAGCGATTGACTTTTGCAAGGTGGTTCAGATATTCTATCCACATTCTTTACAAACGCATCCACATACGTTTCCTGGCAAGGATCCCAACGACTGCCCACGAAACATTACAAAAGATGAGTGAGTATAAAACACAAACTTTATAAAACGTATGTCTATTACAATTATCGTTATCTTAGAGCGCTCATCAAAAAGTGCAATAATGCTTTATATTCAGATCTTTATGGTCACTATAGAGAGGCAAACTTTACACAGGCAAAGCACCACTGGTGGTGGAAAGCGAATTACGTCTTTCATGAACTTAAGGCTACCAGATATCATACAGGTAAATTCTTAGCACCTTATCATAATTTTGATAGTTATGAATAACACTTTTTCGTCGTAGGTCTTATCTTGTTCTTGGAGGAGGATCACTTCGTGTCGGAAGATTTTTTACATGTATTGATGCTAATGCAAACGAGTACCGAAAACTTGTGTGCACATTGCAATATTTTGTGTCTCGGCAATTATCTGAGCGAATTTACAGCTAAATCGTACCGCGCAAAGGTGAGATCACCTCAACTTTACTATAACAGCATAAAGAAGAAACGATATTCCTATAGGAAAAAACAATTCTAGAATACTCTGCACTCTTCCCCTCTCTACATGTTTGATCATATGTTTTAATTTAGTAATATGTTATTCTTATTGTAACAACAAGTTAACATTCTCATCTTCCAGGCTAAATGCTTGAATTTTGACGCCTCTCACAATATGGGCTTAGCCTTTAATCGAACAACCTGGTCGCGCATAAAAAACTGTGCCACAGCCTTTTGCTCGCACGATGATTATAATTACGACTGGTCATTACTGCACGTATCTGAAAAATGCCTGGAAAAGAAGTTTACTGTGTTGTCAATCGATGGTCCGCGAGTCTTCCACATAGGAAGTTGGCAAGTTTATAAGATATGGGTATCAGCAAGGGCCGATTTGTGACAGTTCCTTCATTGCAGTGGCGTTCACCAGAAAAGCAAGGACTGCGAGGCCAGTGAATTGATTTCCGAAATAAAGCAGGTGCTTCGCTTAGCATTCCAATTTGGCCAGCTTTATCCGCCGCTGCTCAAAACCACGGCATCAATTCTGGAAGCTAAAAACAAGAAGCCCAACAATATTAAAGCCAACGGTGGGTGGACGGATCCCCGCGATCATCAACTGTGTTTAAGCATGACGTTACCCCTAAGTTTAACGAGTATATTAAATTCCAGTTACCAAAGCAATAAAACAGGCGTTCAAATCGTTTGAGAAATAAAATAAGCGTCTGTATGTTTTATATATTATAGGCTCCATCTCATTCTTTTGGAACTATGTTAGTATCAAAATGCACACCAGTCACCTATACACAGATGTCTTACAAAGAGAATCTAAAGTAAGAGGCTGGGTATCAACAGGCAATAGTATCGATCAAATCTAGTACCATGCATGTGTTTCACCTAAAGATATTTTTCTTAGGAACTGATAGAACTCACAGTCAGTGAGACGTGCAGCAGGTATTATGTGCGCAACCGTATAAATAACAACTTTTATGCTGTTTTTAATTATTTAATAATTTATTTGTTTCTGAGTTCTATCCAACCAGTTTCTAAATCACGCATTCATTATAACGCTTCAAACAGAGACGGGTGCAACAGTCCTCGGCAATGTCGCAGGTCATTCCAATTTTTTTGCAGGTTTGCTTTTTTTTCAAAATATTTGTCTATTTTAATGATATGTATAGAACTTTCTTGATTAGAACGTAATGCGAATTTACCGTGCCTAGCCATTACCTACCTGTTCGGATGTCATTGAGGGACTCATTACCAAATCTCCAAGCATCTTTTGCCTTATCTCCGTATAGGTTGGCTTAATCATAGAATCTAGCTCTCCAAGAGTCCTGTTCCCTTTCGCAAGTGCGACTGGAATTACCCACACGGCCAATACCACAAAGAACCCGCTTAAACGCATTTCAATTAACTACTGACTACAATATTAAGGGTTTTTTTTCTTTTATAGTCGGTACCACCAGGGTATTTGCTGGTGGACGGCAACACATGTTGGTGCACCTGTTTAATAAACTCATTTAAATTAATTGGATAGGCTTAAAAAATGGTAATTTGAAACTTACGGACTTATTGTAATTACATTTCCAATTATAAGCAGAACCCAGCCCAGTCGCTGAAAAAATCTACTTCGGCACCCAGCACCACTTCGACGACTTTACACTCAATGTCCAAAGATCTCTTAGGTATCTCGGGTAATCCTTGATAGAGGGCTCACCTCCACGAAGCATATCTTCCCCGTGATCCGCTATGTAACATCTAAAAGGAAAACAACAAACTTGATATTCAAATTGCGAGAGTTATCCTTTTTAAATTAAATCTGGTCCCTTTTTGGACAGCAAGCTGCAATATATCAAAATAGTTTTCCAATTCTTCGTGAATTTTCTTTTTTTCTCCTTTCACAACACTTACGACTGTTCACTAACCGACAAATTGTACTTAGCCAAACGGCAAATTCTAAAATGAAAACCGAATAATAAGGCACTTCAAATTTTGCTGAAACTTTTATGCAGCTTCTAACTTTTACATTGTCCACATTTTCTTTACAAAAACTGTGTTTTAATGTAAGGTAAATAAGACTATAAAGCATATGCATTACATTTCAACCATAATATGTCGATCAGCCTATATTCGTTTGCTTAAATAATATAAATAAACTCGAAGACAGAAAATATTACATATATAAATATAAGTTACCCACTGTCATCCATCAACTTAATGGTTGGTTCGTGGATTAAGAAAGTTATTTCACGTTTGATGAGAATAAAGATAACTAGTTTCAGTTTGGACTTAAAAAAAGGACACGGTTGCAAGTCGTAAGAAGATATTATTTTATTTAGATAAATTTACATTAATACGAATCGTATTTTTTCTCTTTTCCAAAATAGTACAAGTTTATATAGAAAATACTTATTTTCAGCCACAGAAAAAACCAAATATTTGTTTCCACAAAACAGAAATTCAACTCTGTGATACTAAAGTCAACACACGCAAAAAAAAAGAAAGAAATTGAAAATAGGTATGTTGGCACAACCGCAATTGATTTTAGATCCCGCCACAAACAACTGCACAATTGGAGCAAAGTGAAGGCAAACAATCTGCAATCTGATAACATCAAATGGAAAACGTTTTAAAAATAAGTAAGTCGAAGCGCCAAGGCAAAATAAGGAAAAAGTAATATTAGACAGAAGCAAAACAGTATACGTTGCTGGCCTTATATATAGATTTGTAAGTCAAATGTGAAATGAAAAGAAATAAAATAAGAAAAGTACCACATCCCACTATATAAGAGTAAAGGCTTCTATATAACTTGATAATGTGCACTGTTCGGAATCCTTTAATAAAAAAATCAAAAAACAATAGAACAATAGAAAATTTTAATTTTGGAAGTCAGACTGCAGCTGCAGTAATATCGAGCACCCAGAAACACGCTCCTCGTAAATAAATAAAAACAACGAGAACTGCTAAAGTCTCAAGCTGAGAATGAAATCTTAAATGTATATCCTTTTGCTGCAGGCAGTATATTCATATTAATAATCCTTAAAATAATTATTTTTGCATAAGAAATATTTTTTACTGTCATCTACAAGCTTTTAACGTTCATAAAGACTGCTACACAAAGTTTTTAGCAACCACCGGTAATAATCTAAATTTTTGATGAACAACTTTATATTTTGACTACTTTATTATATTGCCCCTATTGGAACAATCTACAGAAAATGAATATTGAATTATAATACATTGCATAGAATTCTTCAACTTGGAGACTTCAAAGATATATATCTAGTTTTTTTTTTATGAGTTTCAATCAAGGGTTAACATCTGGTTGAGCGGTTTCTTCAAAGGTTAATTGTTGCCTACAATTTTTTTCAACCCATTCGCCCATGGATAATGGTCTAGAATTTTTTATCCCTAGAAGAGGTAATACCTTCTCATGTTCGGAGGTAAACACCTGGCCGTTCCACTCAAAAGGATGCTTCCAGAATGTATTATATAATTTGTACAGCGATCCAGCTAAGCATTTTGTAACCACCAAAGCTTACTGCACTCTGATTCATGGAACTGGACAGGGGACCAACAAAGCTTTTAGAGCACTTTAATTGATACGAATTGAACCTGAAAGTGCATAAGAGGCCGTCAGACCTCTAGTTGGCATTTTGGGCCTGTGGAGTGCCGTGTGTGGCGCTAGAGTGCTAAACCCATCAAATCATAATTGAGCTGACAAGTGTCCATCAATACGCTGAAATAGAACTGACGGGTAACATAAATCAAAAAGTGCAGCAAATTGCAAATCTACTACAATTTGTTCAGCTTTTAACAACAGAGATGAATGGTTCAGCACTTTTACTAAAATGAGACGTCATATTTAGTATACATTTGCTTTTCAACAATAAGATGGAACTAGTTCTAAATTTACAAAGTATAAAAAATACTAATAAGCCCCGAAGCAAATCATAAGCCTTAAGATTAGCCTCAAGCTAAGCTCTTTATAAATTCTTTGATATATTTTTGTTAGGACAAAATACTTGTTGCTTCATGTGGATATCTGTTTGATCCTATCAAGACTGGAAAACAAATGGCAAGCTATTGTTTTGTTAATGCCACAGCTTACAGTCACCACCGGACATGTGTACATGTCATGAGCTAAGGCTTAAAGGACAATGCGACAATTGATAGCTGTTCCAGCTGTTGGGCAGGTTAGTATTATACCCATGAACTTTGCCATTTAACATTTTGCTGATGTAAAACGTTAAAATACTCACGCTTGGTCAGACCATCAACAACTATTTTATTGAATATGGTAATTTTACTTGGCTAAAAGCCATATGTCTTCATTTTTTAAGCCCTTATAGAGGGTGTTATAAGTTTGTCCCTCATAGAAGGAAGGGTCTCCGAATTCGTGAAGTATATAAATATATTCATGAGCAGTCTCAACAGCCGAGTCGTTATAGACAAGTTCAAATCATCATTCTAAAATTAAACACTTGTATGCAAAATTTCACCATGTGCCTTTTGAGCAACATCTTATAAAAATCGAACTACTATATCGTATAGCTTTCGAGCTTGTATAGATAGTTATCTTAATTTTTTCAAGAAATCCTTATCAAACTCACCCATAATTTTGCGATTCTCATAACATAACTGCAACATTGTATTTAAGCGGACTACTTAATCATATGGCTCCTATAGGAAAAACAGGTCGATAAAAACTGAAGTCCAAAGTCAACATTCTATGAGTTCCTAAAGTAGCAGACTGAATTTTGGGTCGTAGTCAAAAGACACCACGAAAAGAGCACGTAAAGAAAAATTGCGTAAAACATAAAAAGAAAACTGCCGCAAAGGACTGTCTCCCCTGAATTGACGTGCAAAGAAAAAACTCAGAAACGCAAATTGGCATCCTGTCAGTTAATCTGATTCGTTATTCAGAGAAGTCACAATTGAAGTCCACCCTTCGTTGCTGACAATCCCATTCCATTTTCCGAACCCAAATCTAAATTGAAATATGATTAACGCGCACCTCAACACACACGTCGTGGACGTCTCCGGGACAAAGTGAAATGTTAACCACATCACCATCAGAGATACACCGAGCTGAACAGTCAAAATCAGAGGACAGAAGCACTTATAATGGCGACATAATATTCCCCTCCGACAAGCCAGTTGGACAGTGTCAATTTGTAATGAGTTTAATGGCCCCTAGAGACTAATGCAATAAACTACACCAAATTGCATTTTAATGGCTGCAAATGTTTTGTAATTGCATTTATGTCACGCGGCTTCCTTTTATTGCCCTACATTGAAAATTATAAAATACATATGTAAAATTAATGTTTAACGTTGGTTGTTTTAATTCAACATCAGCATAATAACCAGCCCAGTTTTTTATGTATAACGATGCTTGATATATTAAATGATACTAAAGTGATTCTGTTTGTAAACCCCTACTCTTGAAAAAAAAAACGTTATCGTTTAAATAGCACTTTGCAGGTCAGTGCTATGGGGTTTGGTACTTCAAAATAAAAGTTTAAATGAAAGCAAAATCATTAACAATAAATTTGAGCGTCTTACGAGATCATGGGCTAGTTGTTAAATAATTAATAGTATATTTCATTGTTGATATTATAATATACTGAAATGTAAAAAAAAAGGTAAGGGCTTTGTAATATTAAATCACCAAGCGGCAGTTAGGAGTAGTCGGAGGAGAATTTTTTTAATAAATTTGAATTAAATAATGTATCTTCATTTTGCTTTGTACCTCTTTAAATTCCAGAAAAATGTTTCAGAGGGAACTAACATTTTTTACATTCAATTTAACATTAATTTATGTAAATTACTTTCCAATTTTGTGCACATTTTAAGACCCGAAAATTGATTTCATTGCTTATAAACTGAGAAGCTCCTTAAATATTCTCATCACGCAGCTGGCGCGTTAACAGTTTTGACGTGCATTTCTCGCTTAACAAAAGGCAAACGCTCAGAGACACAAAAATATGTAGCTAAGAAACTTTAGAATTTTGTATATTTTTGTGGAATATAAGTACTTATGAATAAGTAAAGAGCAGCGAGTTGCTACGCAACTTTTTGGAGCTGCTAAAAATAAGAAGCTGCAAAAATACCACAAAATAACGCCACAAATGCTGCGCTGAGATGATGATGACGATGATGTTGGTGGAAATGGGGATGATGAAAATGTCCATTTCCCACTGGCATACAGATGACCTTTTGGGATTTCTCACACAATTGTGTGGCCAAAAAATTTGTACAAGTTTGGAAAAGTAAGAAGTTCATTGCACCCATGAAGAATTTTTATACTCCTGTTCATGCTAATTTCATAATTATGTTTTATTATAATTCATGACGATTTTATTTCATTCATTGTTTTCACAGACTCGGCAAAAGAGGCGCCGCAAAAAAACAAACAAAAACTTTCACAGACCTCTTAACTTTTTAATGTTCTTGGGCCAAGCATTTCAAGCAACCATAAAATGAATTTGTCTGACTGTCTTTTGTTCGCATTGAGAAAACAATTCCTTTTCAGACATTTTATCCCTGATTATTCTTTTGCTCGTTTCGGCTTGTT